ATATATCTAGGTATTATGAAATATTATACTTGATCAACATCCACTATGCTGAAAATAGTCGAGAATGAAACAATCAAACATAGTTAGTTAGTTTTCAATTAACAATAAGAACAACTATAACTACAAATGATAGTTATAACATATTCGACTTATTTTCAAAGAGCATAACGCAAAAATAAGACATTAAAAAACTATATTATGATGACAATGATAATGATCGTTATTTTTAAGCATAATGAGTTATCATTGGATAACAAAATCAAAGACGACATAAATTTCTTTAGTATTTAAAATTTCACACAAAAAAACACAATAATAATAATAATAATTTTACTGTGGATTTTCAAACCAATATTTTTATATAATTTTATGTCACAATTTGGTAAAAAGTATTAAATATTATATTTCATTATTTAATACATTTATTATTGATATTATAAAATAGACAATTTTTTTTAACTAATAGAATGAAAATTATATTATACTATTAAATGTAAATTTAATAATAAAAACAATTTTAAGTAGAGAAAAAATGATTAATATTACGTGCGTAGCACGTGCATTTTCCTAGTAAAGTGAAAAAAGAAACAGCTTCAGGATATCATGAATGCAACTCGGATGGAGAGAAATTGAAAGCAAAGCTTACGCAAGGGATTTTCCTCTGAAAACTACAGGAGGTGCCACAGCAGCAAAGATGCAGAAGCCGATGTGGAGCTGTTAAAGTCATCAAATTACAGATTTTATCATAAATAGGAAACTATTTTATCATTACTAATAAAAATGGTGACATCCATGATAAATTGATATATAAAATACTCACCAAGTAAAACAAGAAAAACCAGGTAAACTTCATCGCGCTTTCAGTCCTGCCAAAAAAAAAAAAAAAACACCGACAAAATCAAACCGCTTATCAATTGAAAATTGTTTATCTATTCTCATCACCCAACAAAGATCTCATTTCACAACTTTTATTTTGCAAATCGTACACAAACACAAATCCGTTAAATCTGAGTTGCATTTTCCTATGTGCAGAGAAATTATGCTAAAAGGAAATGTGAAATTTCATTCGGCAAAATAGAATACGAACCTAAAAGCGCGGTAAAGTGGACGATACCACAACACATAAGCACCTGGAACCCCCGATATGAAGTAGATGATAGCAAGAAACCAAATTTTTACATCTATAAGAGATTTATGTTAGTAACCCTGGGCCAAACAACAAAATCCCTAAGGGCGTGCTTGGATATAACTTTCAATTGGATATTTTTTGTTTTGATTGGTTTTTTTTTTTTTTTAACAAAAGTTAATTTGGAAAAGTTGGTTTAGTAAGGTGTGGGTGAGATTGAATGTATTAAAATAATATTTAAAATAAAATAATTAAAATTGATTTGACGTAAAAGTAGAGATGAGTGATTGGAAGTGATGAATAATGAGTAGTTAAAATTATGTGAGTGGATGAATTGTGAATTAAAGTTGATGTGATGTGTAAGGATGATTGATTGAAATTATTTAATTATATTAATAATATTGAGTAGGGTTGGAGTTGAGTTAATTTGAGTTAAGATTAAAAAATACAATCAAGATTTATATCCAAGCACCACCTAAAATTACGATCAAAATGCAAGTATTTAATACAAACCTCCTTGTTTAATCCAAGCGGTAGTCACTGCTATAACATTCCATAGGAGAGCAAAAACGAGTCCTAATCACCAACAGGAAGATGGGGATCAAATATTATCGAGGCACACATACATGTTAAAATAAAAATAAAAAAAAAAATAGAAAAAAATATTACGTACCTAGAAAGGTTGTAAATGCAACATATTGCAGCCTCTGCAGATGAATTGGTATTTCATTTGCAATATCATGATGAATAATGGGGAAAAATGGAGGCCAATTTTTCTCTTCAAGAACAATGCCAGCTTCAACAAAACAAGAAATCGTTTTCATTCACTTGGTCTAGAACTATCATATCAGTTGACAGTTAATAAATTCTAACAAGAGAAGAAATGGCACCTCGTGCAGCAGCCTCTTCTTTACGCTTCACTTCCTGCAAAGCATCACGATTCTTGTAAGATTCTATCAATGCTTGTTGGGTTTATGCAGAAGTTGGCGAATTTTTTTCTGAAAAATTATTCTAGTGAAAAGTAACTAATATCCTTATGGTAAACATAACAAACATTGAGGGGTTTTCGTCAATGAATTTTGAAAAGGTTCATGCAATCAAATACATGCTACAAATAACTAAATTAAACAAGTCAATAAATTTTCGCCAAACTAACTTCACTTACATAATTCCTTTTTTACAGAACTAAATTATTTCTTATCACGAAAACTTTAATGCATGCCACTCACTGCACAAAAAAAAAAAAAAAAAAAAAAAAAAAAA